TGTTATTTTCTGAAATTCTTGTGATTTGAATTATTGTTAATGTGTTTTTCTTCTTTTTCACTGATTGAATTCACCTCTCTATTAACTTGAACATGTTGAATTCACTAGTGCAATGAAGGGCTATTGCCTCGGTTGTTTTGGGTTTATGACCGTAGTTCCTGAACCGATGTATATACAGGCGAGGTAAAAACGGGTAACCTTTTTGCCTCGGTTCTTAATCGAGGCATTATGTGTGGGTTTTTTGCCTCGGTTGGTTTCGAACCGAGGCAGTAAATGCCTTTTTATATTTATTTTTTTTCAGAAAATAGGGACTTTTGCTTTTCAAAATATTTTCTTTTTTTTATCTGGGACAACAGAGGCGGCGACGAAACAACCAAAGGCGGCAACGAACGGCCGAAGGTGACGACGAACGGCCGAAGGCGACAATGAACGACCGAAGACGGTGACGAAAAGCCGGTGGCGACGACGTACGATCAAAGGAGACAACAGACAACGCAGTTCGCGTGGGAGAAGTAGAGACAACGGCGACGACCGCTGGTGGAGGCAGCGGTGACGACCAACGGTTGAGGCAACGACGAGGACTAACGGGGGGGAGGCAACGACGACGAACAACGGTGGAGGCAGCAGCGACGACCGGTGGTGGAGGTAGCGGCGGTGGAGCGAGTTAAGGATGGTGAGTCTAAGGTTAAGTTTGTTTAGTGGGAGTTGAGGATGGTGGTAGTAAGAAGGTTGTGGAAGGGGAGAATGGAAGGGGAGAATGAAAGATCTGAAATTTAAAAATCGAAGAAGTTATTACCTCGGTTAAATAGACAACCGAGGTAATAAGATGCTATTGCCTCGGTTCTAAAGACAACCGAGGCGTAAACCTTTCACAAAAAATTCAAAAAAATAATTATAAATGGCAAAATTTAAAGATATTTCTAACTATAGGCATCGGTTCGTGCTTAAACCGAGGCATAAAGGCCTCATGACATCGGTTCAAATGGAACTGAGGTAGTAGAGGTTGAAAAAATTTATTTGAAACATTCAGATACAGAGGTTGTCAAGGACATACTAGCTCGATTCTGCACAGAACTGAGGCAGTATGCCTCTTTTGAAAAAGCTGGCAGGTGCAAAGACTGATTTGCAAGGGGAAAACAAAGTTTTTTGCCTCAGTTGGTAAGAGAACCAAGACAGTATACCCCTTAGGCATCGGTTCCAATTGAAACGAGGCATATAGTTTCGCAAAAATTACGAAATTGCCACCGCATTTTGAAACCGAAGCGTAATGTTCGAGTTAAAAACCTTTTTTTTTACTAGTGATTATTTCTTTACGTCAGTGCAATTTTTCCATTTTATTAACTCCTAAATGTGTCAAGCTTTTGTAATTCCAAAGTTTGATATATGCATAGCCATTGCTAAATTTCAGTGAACACATAATGGCCCTTCTTTCATTCAAGATGCATATAGTGGCTCTTGAACATCAAAAGCTTGAGTTACTTTAAGATTGAATAAGCCTTGAAGTTGTATTGACCGTTCATACCATTATTCATTCTCTTGCATTCGCATATCATCAATTTCATGTTTTCTTGCGTTTTTTAGTGTAAAAGTGTGTTAGCCTAAGGTCTTGCATAGTTTCACAAGATTCTAGAATTCAATTTGCATCACATTCAAAGTAAACTTTAGTGAAATTCATTTTGATATTTATTTTCGTTATTTAGGATTCATAATTAGGGATCTATGCATTTTGTGATTTTAAATCAAATTAGTGGTTCTAAGTGATAGTATTAGTATTATAGAAGGGTTTTGAAACATATATCCATCGTCTAATGGTGAATATACACATCTACATATTGTATCAAATTCATGATAGAGTTCATCTCAACTGATTTTACAGTTTTTATGCATTTGAGATCGAGTTTTAGCATTTGAAAGCATATTTAATGGTAATTGATCATGAATTCTAGTTTCATTTAAAGTTGTTAATATTTCTGTAGCTTAGCATAGTCTAATTGTACTTGCATTCACTCAAACATATTATCAAACACGTAGGTTGAATTAGGTTTTCATCAAATAGTTTGTATATAATCTTTTTCATTTCATTTTAGGTGTTAAATGTTAGATTAGTTTAGCATTAGTTAGTACAATCATTTCATACACTCTTGTAATCATTTTATACATTGTAATCGCATTTAGGAATTGAAAATAAGAAAGTGTAGTTCATATTGCATTTTAGTTCTAGTTTGAGTTCAGAATTTGGTTGTATTATGTTTTATTAGTTTTAGCATATCATTTAGTATAAATATAAATAGTAAGTAAGTAGTTGTTTCTCCACTCAAATCACACCACATATAGCACAGCTAGTCCATTGATTGTTCTATCCTTCAAATGATTATTGATTGACATGGTATTATATTTTTTGAAAAACCATTATCTGTATAAAGTTCATACGATCAAATGTTTATCATTATTAAATTAGTGAAATCAAAAGTTGTATACAAGTCACATTATGAGAAATTATTAAATTACCAATATAATTTTATTGATGGGAAAACTTAGTAAATGACAAAATTGATTTTGTTTCTCTAAAATGATCTATTCACTAAGTTATAAATAATATAAACTATTAATAAAAATATACATATAGCAAATGATACAAGTACGTTTTAAAGTGTGTCTTTAAATATAAGGACTATTGATTAAGGCTTATGTAAAATTACAATAAAATCTTATTACATGAAAAGTTACATCCAAAAAAACATAACAATATTACTAAATAAATTGTTGTTAATAATATAGAGCATGTTTTAAAGTACATAAATTACAAACATGTTTCATTTGAATATTAGTTTAGTTATATTGTGTAAGCCCTTATTCCGTGACAAAATTTGTACAGTTGTTTCCACCATTAATTCCATTTTATGTGGATTCAATATCATGTACGCAGATCATATACTTTCTCTTTTCACACAACCCTACATGCAGCTCTTCCTTTTGATGATAATGTCAAGAAAGCAAAAGGTATTCTGACATGCATATGTAAAAAGTTCTAATCTTTGCATAAAAGTCAAATTATAATGCCCCAATTTCAACTTTTATCCTACTTTACCATTCAATTAAAAGCACATAACAGTCTTGGAATCGTCTTTTTTTTCCTCCTAAAGTCATCATGACCAAGGAAAGACGAGACACCTAACTTTTTTTTATTAGCATTTCATTACAAATTATGTTTTTAAAGCACAAAGTTTTCTTTTTAAAAGCAATCAAATAGTATTTTGAATATACAAAAGTTAAAGTACCATTGTCCCACTTCCAACTTCTAGGATACTTATCCTAAATTTATTAAACACAAAGAAACTTGAAATCCAGCGCATCTCTCAAATACAAAAGAGTGTTAGACAATCATGGTAATGTTTCCAACTGATTTATGTATATCCCTATATATATTCCAAACCTCAAATATATATCAGCATTCCTTAATTCATTAATATCTTTTCACCTATTAATAAGTCCACACTCAGGATCTCAATAAAAACGTTTATTAATACTAGTGTTATGTAAACATTAACTAGAAATTATGGTTCAGGAACATCTAAAATTTGCCAGTAAATCCATACATTAACCCACTAGTTAGTATTTCTCCGTGATATACAAGATGGACATTAGCAGAGTTTGATTACATTAATTACCGTGGCCTTTGATTTCCAAGGTCAGAGAACATGACATGCACCAAAGCTTGCTCCTCCTCACTGCATGTCGTCGTAGCTTTACTACTGGAAGAAGCAAATTTTTCGTCAAATTCGCCATGACGCTCCATTTCTGTCAAGCCAATTTCCCGTTCACCTTGCGCCAAGCGGCATTGCAAATTCAACGCATACTCCAACCCCTTCACCACGTCTCTCATCAGAGGCCGGTCCTTGCCATGATCATTCAAACAACTCAGAGCAATCTCCACGAACTTATTCAAACACTTGGAGCGTATGCTACCTTTCAAAACCGGATCCACCGTCTCATGAACATTCCCATCGTCAAAACACCGCTTCACCCACGCCACCAAACACTCTTGATCCTTCTCCACCCTGCTCACTATAGGTGCTCTCCCACACAATGCCTCAAGCAAAATCACGCCAAAGGAGTAGACGTCGGATTTATGAGTCAACCAAAGACTCATATAGTACTCAGGATCCAAGTATCCCACACTACCCTTAACGTCTGTTGTCACGTGCGACGCGTTCGATCCCACCTTTGACAACCCGAAATCCGACACCTTCGCCACCCAATTCTCGTCCAGCAGGATGTTTGTGCTCTTCACGTCACGGTGGATTACGCTCTGCCGGCCCACGCCTGCGTGGAGGAACTCAAGCCCACGTGCGGCCTCCAGGCAGATCTTCAGTCGCCGCTTCCACGACAGCACCTCGCCTGAGCCGTACAAGTGGTCGCGGAGGGTCCCACGCGCCATGAAATCATAGACGAGTATCATTTCTCTACCGTCGTTGCAGTACCCAATGAGGGAAACCAAGTGCTCGTGGCGGAATCGTGAGAGCATCTTGATCTCGGTTTGGAACTCGTGTGCGCCCTGGTCCGAACCCGGTTTGAGCCGCTTGATGGCCACGGGCTTGTGACTCCTGTCGATGTGCCCCTTGTACACGTTCCCGAACCCTCCTCTGCCCACGATTAAACGCTCTTCGAAGTTGCTGGTGGCTGCTCTTATCTCCGCCAGAGAAAACTCGCGGCAGCGCGTGCTTGAAGACTCCGAGTTGCTATCTCTGTCGGAGTTAACTCTTCTTACGCATCGGAAGATTATGAATCCGATGACGAACGACAATAGCAACAACGACGCAGCCACAAGAGAGGCTATTAGTGGAATTCTCATGCTTGTTGGGTTTGATGGTTTGGGTGAGGTAAGAGGGTGAGGGTTTGGAAATCTTGTTACCTCCAATCTTGATTCTGTGCTCTGGCTTCAAAGTGGTGCTTTCACTTGTATCCTTGGTGAGGGCTTGATCGAGATCAGTTGGCATGACATGGCTTCGATGCCATTGCTGAATGCGTAAGCTTTGGGATGAGTGGTGCTGCTTGGTGTGAATGTTTAAGTTTCGTTTGGGTTCCACGTTTATGTAGTATTCTTTTGTGGAGGAGTGAAGCGTTGAAGTTACTCAGGAGAGTGGGGTTAACTTTGAGGGAGAAAAGAGACTAGTGACGACGGAAACCGGGGTGTGAAGAAGGGTAGAAATAAAGAGGAAGAAGATTGGAGTGTCACTTGACATTGCTTTTTGGAAGTACTTCCCTTTCACAACTGAAAAATGATAGACCCACATTACATATGATCTATACACTTTTACATTCATGGAGTAAGCTTTATATTTTTAAAAAAAATAAAAATAATATCAAAAATTTTATGTATGTTAAAAAGTATATTTTTCTAAACTTAAATGTATTGTTGATTAAATGAATAAAACAATGACAATAAGAAGTGAATTACATGAACCTACCTGACAGACATCCGAGAACGGTTGAATTGTTGAGAATTCTTTGTCATGTTGGAAATTAAGACCTGAGCAACTACATGTGTTTTATCCCTTAAAGTGTCTCCACTTACATTTGTTTTATCCATTAAAGTGTCTCCACTTGCTGCATTAATCATGTTTTTCTCTAAAAGCATTAGTCCTTCACAGAAACATTGTATCAGTATCGTTGATTTGATGATTTGGGCAAGTGACAAATAGTTTGTGAATATTTCCCAATATTAATATAAGAGTCTTTCTTCCTACACCTCACTGCCTTCATCCTCCACCCCCAATTTTACCTTTTTTACCCTTCATTTAATAAAAAGTCAAAACTTAATTAATGAATTAATGTTTCTTAACCACCAACCATTTTCGTAACTGCCAACAACTAAAATTTGTTTTGGGTATAAACCCTAAGGTGCAGCCGTCTTCTTCGTTTTCACTGTAGCATAGCAAGCATTTTGTTTACTGTTTTTGTTATTTTTTTTCATTCCTTTACTGTATTGAGTTGGTGGTTATCATTCCCTGGTAGTGCTGGGTGTGCTGGGAGATCTGGTGGTGCTGTGGCATTCTTTGGGAGATCTGGTGGTACTGTGGCATTCTTCGGCGAGAGGAAGAAGACAGGTACGTCATTGGAGTCGCAGAATCTCCTAACCGCACTTCGAGTTGCGGAAACTAGTGGCCGCACTTCGAAGTGTGTTTTTTATTTTTTAGTGGCCGCACTTTGAAGTGTGTTTCTTATATGTGCACCCTTTTTTTTTCTTTATTTCGTGCATGCTTTTTTTCTTTCATGTTTTTTGTCTTATGCTATTATTTTTTATTTTAAATTTCTTGTTTTATGTTATGATTTTTTATTTTAAATTTCTTGTTCATGTATTATGCTTAGTCATTAGGCATTGTATTATTAGTCAAAGAATGAATTGGAAAAACCTCTTTAATTATATTTAGGTTAGTTTATTTTTATGTTGAAAAGATGAATATGAAAGTTAAGATCCCACTAGACTCAATATTATTCTCTTGCTTTATCCAACAACTCAATATTATTATCTTGACTCAATATTATTCTCTTTCCTTATCCAACAACTCAATATTATTATCTTGCCTTATCCAGCAACTTAAGGTTCACTTATGATAGAAAGATACTCTATCTAGTTCTGGGCATAATTTGTAGTTCTAAAAATATAAGTTTTCATTAACATTAGGTTAAAGAACTTCTTTATAGTTTCATTTTAATTTTAAAAGTGTTTTTGAATTTTTTATTTGTAATTTAATAAAATTTTAAATTGTAATATTTATTGTAGGTCATATTTAATTATATCAGATGGATAAGTATCCATATTTGGATTCTGAAATAAATTCTGATTTTATATCGGAGTTTTCTTATTTTTTAAAAGAAGTGGGTGAGGGTGATTACACAGATCAATTTTCCACTGATCAAATATTCCCAACACGCGCCAATTTAATTGAATGGGTTCGAAAGATTGCATTTGATCTTGGATTTGTTGTCGTCATTATAAGATCTGACACAGCAACTGGTGAAGCTGGTAGAAAGACATTTATTTTGTTAGGCTGTGAAAGAAGCGGGAAGTATAGGAAGTATAAGCCAGATGTTCAACCTAGTTTCTCTGGCACAAGAAAATGTGAGTGTTCGTTTAGGTTGAGGGGTAAACCTAAAGGAGATGGTTGGGTGTTAAAGCTTATGTGCGGCTATCACAACCATGAATTAGCAGAGACTTTGGTCGGTCATCCTTTCGCGGGTAGGTTAAATGTTGTTGAACAATCAATTCTTGTGGACATGACTAATAGTCTAGTAAAGTCGTCAAATATTCTTTTGACTCTGAAAGAACATAATGAAGATAATGTGACCACGATAAAGCAAATATATAATGCGAGGTACACGTACAAACGATCTTTGAAAGGGTCTAGAACTGAAATGCAGCATTTGATGCTGGGTACAGTGGGTAAGTAAGGAGGTGTCATGTGGACCTCCTGGGAATCCACCATCTTCACCTTCATCTTCATCTTCATCTTCATCTTCATCTTCATCTTCACCTTCAGCTTCATGTTCTTCCTGACTAGAGTCATGCTGCTACTGAATATCCTCCTCTTCAACGTAATCATCCTGACCATGACCATGTTGTAATAACTCTTCCTGCTCCTCATAATCATGCTCATCAATAACGTTCACGCGATATTCTTCTACTCGTCTTCTACGAGCAGATGTCGTAGGTCGTCTTCTTTCATCACGTGAAGATGATGGCTCACCACGAGAGGATGAAGCCTCACCATGATAAGATAATGCACCTCTAGTTTTAACCATATCTATTAACCAATTATATTATTAACATATTATATACAAAAAAGTAATTAATTATGTAATAAAAAATATTCAAACAAATAATAAGTAATCAAAGAATATAAAATTCCAAAAAAATTACATATATAATAATTAAATAATTACAAATAAATCCAAAATAATATTTAACAAAATTTACGAATAATAATTATTATTTAATTCAATAAATAATTTAATAATTATTTCAATTGCATAAAAAATTAAAATAAAATTAAATACATAATAAATAATATATTACGAAAATAATAATATGTTCAAAAATAACAAATTCAACAAAATTTAACAAACAAATAAAATAATTCAAAATATATTAAAAGAAAACATTTTATTTAACAACTAACATAAAAAATTAAATTTATTATACTAACCTAATAAAAATAAAACCTAATAAAAAAATATATACTAACCTAATAAAAAAAATTAAAAAACCTATAGAAATAAAAACCTCGAAACGACATTTGAACTTCGGCAAGAACTAACGCACTTCCATGTGCGGTTAGTCTGAGTCGTTTTTATTATACTAACCTAATAAAAATAAAACCTAATAAAATAAATATATACTAACCTAATAAAAAAATTAAAAAACCTATAGAAATAAAAACCTAAAACGGCATTTGAACTCCGGCAAGAACTAACGCACTTCCAAATGCGGTTTCTCTGTCCACCTTTCCGCACTTCCAACTGCGGAAGTCTCTGACCGCAACTCCAACAGCGTTTAAGCAGCTTGCTCTCCGACAACCAACACGAACCGAATCTCCGGCAACCAGCACGAAGCGAACACCCAAGCACATGTATAGATTGTATGACAGCAAACAAAGCAGATGCATGAATGAAGGGTACTAACCTAGACGCCAGAAACACCTGAGATTTGTGAGAAAAACAACCACGAAGGAGGAATGCAAACAAAGCTTGGCACAAGAGGGAGGGCGGAGACAAAATAACAGTGGTAGAGGATACGGGAGAGAAGAATGACAGAGGAGGAGGACGGAGACAAAAAGAGGGAGGAGTGATTTAGAAAGGGGTGTAGGGTTTGAGTTTGAGATGCGGCAGAGTTAAAGTTTCAATATTAGTCAACTTTTTAAAAATCTAAAATATTCTCGTTGATTGTGATAAGGGTATACTTGGAATTAAAATATATATTGGAGGTGCAGGACAAAGGCAGTGAGGTATAACCAATTGTCAGAACCCTTAAAACCTCATGTTAGTGGAAGACACGTATAAGTGCAAGGGTTTCTGAAAATTAGAAAGTGAAAGACAGGTGTGAGCTGCAGAATTGACTATTGGTTTTGACGGTAGTTCATAAGCCAATTTTTCAAAATTCGTGCCACTTTTCTGCATGCACTCATCTTCAACCTTCTGAGTTCTTCATTTCCTCCTCCTTCTCTCTACAAATCTCATTCTTCTCTCTAAGAATTCTCATATTTTTCTTCTTCCAATCTGCAATCAGACCACGTTTGAGACTTCCTAGTGTCAAGAGCTTTCTTTTGCACCGATCAAGTTGCTGGTTTGAGCTGGTAAGTTCATTCCTCTCTCCGCATTGTTGTTTTCTATCATATGAAAACCAAGTTTCTGGTTTCATGAGTTTACCAACTTCTTCTATGAATTCCTGATAGTAATTCTAGTCTTTTGTTTGGTATAGTTTTGTAAATCGGGAAACTCTAGGTGCATAAGATTGGGTAGTGGTGAGCTTGATTCTGCAACCGTGAGTTCGGCTAAGCTTAAGAGGTAAGGGAAGCTTATATAATTTGATTAAGAGTATTGGTTTTGAATGGTTGTATGTTGGTTTGATTATTTGATGAATATGAAGTATTGGTGCTACTGTATGTTGTTTATATGAGTGGATGATTTATAACTGAGGTAGACTGGGTTGAGATAGAGTTTGATCGTAAATATGCAGTTTGTTGTATAATCCTGTGTTTGATACCGAGAGTCAATATTGACCGTTCGGTTTTCCTTTGAGTGTTCGGTCTAAACTAAATTCTTCTTTTGTAGTGAATTTAGTTAATGACCGATCGGTTTTATATTATTATTATTATTATTATTATTATTATTATATATATATATATATATATATATATATATATAAATGAGCATTCGGTCTACGTATAGTCTCTCCTTTGCACTTCTTAAAACAGCTTCTTTAAGATATTCAATAATACCTAAATTCTTAAATATGATATTTATCCTTGTTGAAAATAAGTCATATGTAATTATGATTAGAATATATTCTTTCATTGAATAAGTTCTGTAGTGATCAGTCATAGACTAGGCACTCGGTTTAAGTGGTGTTCGGTCTTAAACCAAGCGCTCGGTCTCGTCTCAGTAATCTATCATTACCATTTTTAAAATAAGAGTGTTCGGCCAAACTCAATAGTGTTCGGTTTCTACGGTGCTCGGTCTCAGACTAGCACTCGGTCCTTTCAATGTTATGTCTTAAAACTAAAAACTAAGTATTATTAGTACTCAGCATCTTTCTATCTCTCGGTTTCTTCATAGTATTCAGTTTGTTATTAGTATTCGGTGTCAAACAGTATTCGGTCTCATTAAATGGTGTTCGGCCTAGAGTCTTAGTATTCGACCTAGGCTTTGTAGTGTTCGGTTTGAACTCTTAAGGGTCAATTCATTGAAGCGGATCAATTGGTAAATAGCGCTCGGTCATGTTAGTTTCTAAGGTGTGTTATTCCATTCGGACTTGTTCTATGATGACAAAGTGTGGTCTTATTTCACTTGAATATATTGATGATGAAGTATGATGGAATTTGAAATATGATACGAATTAAATAGTTTGGATATGAAAGAGTATTCTAGGGAGGAATATCTCAGAAATTGGTTATTGAATGATAAAGTATGAATGTGGTCAGCTAAGGTGGCATTTATCCTGATATTCTATGATTACTCATTCTCAAGTAGAGAGGAGTAAATCATGTGTGAGAATGGCAGGAGGTCCTAGTCCATAAGATTAAGATGGGCGATGTAAGAACGGACTAACCTCGGGTGGCAGCTGATGAAACATTCCAGCTACTATATCACCCGGGTGCAAAAACGTCGTAACTACACAAAATTCATACAGTCCGGACAGTCAGACTCAATGTGGTCGTTCATTGCATGCTTTAATGTGTGATTGGTGGATTGATTGAATTATGGAATTATATCAAATTGATATGAATTATATGTTGTATTGAATTAATTAAATTACATAAGCTTACCCTATTTTCCTGTCTTGTTTGTTTTGTCTTTCCTGTTGTCGTTTTCTGTTGCAATGATCATCCTAAGGATGTGAGCAGAAGGAGAAGAGTTGCTGGAAGAGGCTCTGGAAGAAGTGGAAGTTAAGACCGAACCATAGACTGATCGGTAGTGTTAGATAATGTGTTATGTATAACCGTTCGGTTTAGGCTGAGTTTTGGAAACCGTTCTGTCTAGACTTTGGCTTAGTAAAATTTTAAATTCTGAAGTATTATTGTAAGGTCGTTCAGCCATAATTGTACCCCCTTCTCGTTCAGAACTGAACTGTAATATTATTAATATGTGAATATTCTATAGTATGGTTTTATACTGTATTTTTGGGATGTTACATTTAATGATATCAGAACAGTTTTGTTCCTTAGAAATATTGTAGGTTATGAGTATACTATGTTTTTGTTCTGTACTCAGTGTTTGGTTAATTAGTGTTTTTTACTTTTTGGATTAAACTGATGGTTCTTTTTCTCTGTTAATCAGAGAAGATGGCTCCTAGACCTCCTCCTTCTATAACTGCCGATCGCAATCCATCTGACAACACCAGGTTGTTGGAATCAGTGATAGAGGCTCTACAGCAACAGAACGCTGCATTAGTCCAACAAAATACAGTGGCGTTACAAAGTTTGGAGACTGCTAGAGCAAATTCAGAGACAACCCAAAGGCAACTCATGGAAATAATATCCACAAATAGGAATACAACTACAACTAGACCATCATCTTCCACTTCTAATCATCAAACCGAGTGGAGCTTAGAGAGTTTTCTCCAACATCAATGAGTATTTATAATCTTGAAATTAATTACAATGAAATAAATTTAATTGGATCAATTGAGCTATGTCTTAATTTGAATGATTAAAAAAATACGTTGCATTTAATTCTTGAAATCAAATCTTGGAATTAATAAAATTGATTGGAGCAATTCATTTTTTTTTCCTAATTTTAATGATCCATAGAATATATTGCATTTAGTTCTTGAAATTTTGTTGGTATTTAATTTAACTAAATTTGTTTCCAGTATTTAATGTGATTGATTCACAATCTTCATCACTGGACCCCTTGAGTTGTTGGTTATCTACATGGACCTTGGATGAATGAATATATGTTTTAATGCTAAAATTATACAAAAATACAACAAACTTAGTAAAAATTAAATTATACTATATTTTTATTAAAAATTCTAAATACATAATTTACAAAAATAATAATTAACTGGAAAATACTGTTAAATCAAGAAATAAATAATAGAATGAGACATCAATATAGAGAATTGTCATAAGTTAATGAAGATATGTAGATCCTCAACACTTCGTTTTGGAGCATGAGCTCGGGTTCGAGAAGGCATCAATCAGGCTGCTTACTTGTATAAAATTCTAATT